GCTGAGTGTGAGAGGGTTGCAAAAGGTACCATGAATAAATGTTGCAACGAACCTGTTTGGCTCAGCACGATAACCACACGCCACTTGGATGTTGTTCACCGTGCTTATAACAGCACGCCCCTTGGATCTTGTCAACAGTGCTTAACAGTGTGGGTAAAAACAAACACAATCTACCAACTTATCTACCTGAGCAAGACAATCACACGCTTCTTAATTAACGTTGCTAGGCTGCTGTATACTAATCAAGTCAAGACTACCTGTATGTCTTCAACTGAGGTGAGGTCTGGTGGTGAATCTCTACCGTCGGGGTTGCTGGCTGCTGGACTGAGCGAGTTTGTTGTCGGGTTGCCATGGTGATGCGTGTGGTCGAGCAGACTCTGTCTCACCTCGAGGAGGCTGCTGCGTATAGCTGCCAGCTGCACGAGCTCCTGGTCCGTCACACTCCGGTCCATCTCATGTATCCTCCACGGTATTGATCTTATTGAGAATTCATTATTAATTATTTATTTAATTAATTAATTGATTTAAACAATTATAATAGTAATATATAATGATTAATTAGATATAATAATTAATCATCAAACCTGTTCAGTGTGGACTTGAGTGGTGAAGCAGAGACATCCTTGGGATTATCCTGATACTGAGTGACATTTGCATCTCCCAAGGTCACATGAGAAGCTGTGACCACTGATGTCTGGCTCATTGTGTCCTTGCTGCCATTTCCTTTAAGAAATATATGAAAGTAATGATAAAATGTTTAGTGAAAGCAATTTATAAGTAATAAGAAACAAGTGCCGCAGAGCGACAGCGCTCCACTGACATGTACAGTAGCCGGGTATTCTTCTGATAAACTCACTGGCAACCGAATCAAGTGCGCCCTCCCGCCACTGCGTTCACGCTCAGAGCATATATCTAGGATATTCTTCTTATAGATCTAAAATCTATATGATAGGCTTTGCTATACCGGTAGTACAGTAATAAAGATACAGCTGTGTATCTGTGGCTCTAATAGCAAAAGCGCAGTTCAGCCCTTTGTTAACAGTCAACAAATCCATGTTTAACCCTCCTCTTGAGGGTCGAAAGGTTATCAGACACTTACTCTTCGCACATCAGCGGAAAGTAAATTTCATGGCCCTTTCAATAACGTTCCTAAAAATATGGTAGGTCAGCGCTGGAACAAAAAAGTTTTGCACTCGGTCCGTTAGACCATGTCCTCAGAAAATGTCTGATATCTGACCTTTCCCCCCCTTCCCTTTGACCTGTGACCTCCAACTTCGCAGTGGTGATGGGTTTCCTCCCCATCACACTATACATCGAATATTAAAAGTGTAGGTCGAGCCGTTGAGATTTGTGCCGCAATTCCGTATTTCCTCCTATACCTTAAGTTAAGGGGAAAATATTCCCCCTCCATTGACACATCTTGACCTTTTACCCTTGACCCCCAAATTCGACATCCCGAGTCCTTTTCGCGACCCCCCCCCCTGACGTCCCAAATATCAAGACCGTACGTCGAGCGCTTAAGATTTGTGCCGTAACTGTTGACACACGGACGCACGCACGGACGGACATTCATGCGATTCTACAAGCTGCATCTGACTTCGTCAGCTGAGCTAATAAAAAAAGCGAGTTTTTTGTATTTAAAAATGGCAATCATTTTAACACAATCGTTTCGACACGGATGTTACAATGACCTATCTGTCTCAGCAAGACATGCAACCACGTCCGTTCTAGATATTGTTGCTATAGATCAGTCAAGCTCACTCGGTCTGTATGTGTATTCACACACGTCATGGCTGAATTTCCGATTTTGCGGCACCTCGTTACAAAGCAGGATTTTCAGAATGCCCCTACCACAAATCTGACTGGATGGAGCTACCCGATGAACATGTTCTAAAAGACGTTCTAAAAGACAATGCTTGGCAACGAAAGTCCGCAAAGTTCCATCCAAAAGTCCAGCAGCAATATCCAAGGCGGAGATCGTTATCTCGGTCAGATGGGTTATTAATTAATTAATTAGACTGATTAATTAGACGGATTAATTAGACGACTCGTGTCGTGCGACCCCGCAGCGGACGCACCGTCATCCTCACCGTCACCGTCCCGTGCTCTGCAGCACAGCCTCCCAGCCGACCACTGCTCATCCCTCACTGCTGACATCTCAAACATCTTAACGATGACAAGGTTGACGGGAACCACGACTAGACTGCTCGTTATCCCTGTAATGAGAGACATTTGCTGCATTCATTTTTGTGACGCTACACGAACTCGTGGCGTCGGCATATGGGAAAAAAATACAAGTAGAATATATCAGGGTGACGCCCCATTTTTTTCCCACGTAGGCTTTCCAGAATCACGTATGTATGAATAACTAGATTGTTTTTTTTTCCCCACTTATCCTTATAAAACAATTGCAGCAGAGGTTGCGCTCACTGTAAAAAACATGCAATTATCGCTGTTTCATTAAACATGTAATATCAGAATGTGTTCATTGTAAATAGCTGCTACAGAGACTATTCACTATCCTGCAGCCTCACAGTCACACAAAGCTCTCACCCATCTCCCCATACTTCTCAATTGTCTCCCCACACCTCTCACCTGTCTCCACACACCTCTCACCTGTCTCTCCACACCTTTTACCTGTCTCTCCCCACACCTCTCACCCGTCTCCCCACACCTCTCACCCGTCTCCCCACACCTCTCACCCATCTCCACACACCTCTCACCTGTCTCCCCACACACCTCTCACCTGTCTCCCACACACCTCTCACCCGTCTCCACACCTCTCACCTGTCTCTCCACACCTCTCACCTGTCTCCACACACCTCTCACCTGTCTCCACACACCTCTCACCTGTCTCCACACACCTCTCACCTGTCTCTCCACACACCTCTCACCTGTCTC